GCGCCGCACGCGCCGCCGCCCTGCCCGCCCCGCGCGCCCAGCGCTGCCCGCCGCCCGCGCATGGCCCAGCCGGCCCGCGCCCGGCGCACCCCGCCACCCCCGCCCCTAACTTCTGCACTCGCGCGCGGCTCCCGCCTCAGGCCCCGCGCGGCGGGGAGGGCGGCACAGGGAGGGCCGAGTGAGGGTTGGGGCGCCCGCCGCCTGGGGCGGAGGTCGGAGGTGCGGGGAGGGCGTCCAGCAGCAACACCCCGCGAGCCCGAGCACCAGCTGGGGGGGTCCACTCGCCGCATCCCCTGCTCCACCCTCCCCCCTTTACCTCTTTTTTTTTTTTTTTTTTTTTTTGCACTTTTTTCCCCCGAGAAGACCAGCTCCCCACTTAAACAAAATCCGGGTAGATTCAATCCCCTCTCTCTTTGGGTACTGATTCCTCCGACTACATATCTTCAATTGTCACATTGCCCGCCTGCCCCCCTTCTTCTCTGACCGACTGCCAGGTTCCCGGACCCCCGCGCTTTTCACAGCACACCCTCGCCCCGGGGGGCTGCAGCGCTGTTCCCACCCGTTTACCTCTCCTCTAGAACCGCCCTCCTCTGAGTCTCACCCCAACTTGGGTTTCCTCCGGGCCCTCCCGGGAGTGAGATCCGGAGCGTGCCGAGAGTCGGGGGTCGAGGACAGTCAGGAGGTTCTGGGACTACCCAGCCCTCTCCTTCCCACGGGCACCCCTGAATCAAACCCCCGCCGTCTCCTAGGCTGGAAAACTCGCTGGCGTCCTCTTCAGGGCTACAAAGAGCTGCTCTGGAAACGTCTCCCCGGGGAGGAGAACACGTCCACCACGTGTGTCTAAATCTGTACTTATAGATTCGCAGTATCATCTGGGAGAGCAGGCATCGTGTTCGCATCCCAATCGTTCTGTAAAGCAGACTGGCCCTGGGCCCACAGGGCGTCCCTGGTTCTCACCAGCATCCCCCACCCTACCCAGGGATGCTTCTCACTCCCTGAACGCCTTTCTCCAGGACACAGGGAGGTGGCGCCTCCCCAGGGGAATTGTCACAGCTGAGGGACCGTGAAAGCCAGCACGCCCGGTGGCTCCTGCGTTCACTAAACAAAAGCTTATTCAGTGCCCAGTGCGTGCCAGCCCATCCCGGATCGCTCTCCCGCCTGCCCTGCGCCTGAATTTCACATGACCCATTCCCGAGTTTAGAGATAATGGAAACATGCCCTGATCACGGAGTGCTGTGATTGTCCCACAGGAGCTGGCTTCTTGCCCTTGTCTCTTCTGCAACTCGCTGGTTTAACTTTGTTTTATGGCTGGCTCGGCGGTAGGAGTCCCCAGGAATTAGCAAACATCGGGTTAACAAACCCTGAGCCCCAAGAAGCACTTTGGGACACCACAAATATGCCCCGAATGCAACAGACCCTTGGGGTTTGGGTATCAATGAATAGCAGTAAGGTCGGGTGAAGCACCCTCTGTGTGAAGGTTCCCCCACCTCCATCCATCCCAGCAGAGCCCAACCACAAGTACCTTATTTTAATGGGCTGGCTGTATGGAAACTGTTGTTTCATTTCAAAATAGGTGTGGAGCATAGAAAGCGTCCTAGGATGCTGCATTAAAATCTCAATTTGAGGCCAAGTCTGCTGGCTCATGCCTGCAATCCCAGTGTTTTGGGAGGCCAAGGCAGAGGGATTGCTTGAAGCCAAGAGTTCGAAACCAGCCTGGGCAAAAAAAAAAAAATAGAGGGCATGGTGGTGTGGGCTAGTAGTCCTAGCTGCTCTGGGGGTAGAGGCAGGAGGCCTGCTTGAGCCCAGGAATTTGAAGCTGCAATGACTGTTATCACACCACTGCACTCCAGCCTGGACAAGAGAACGAGACCCTGTACCTAAAAGGAAAAAAAGAAATCTCAACCTGATGTGAAGTTGTTTTCCTTTCCCAAGAATTGTACTGGGTGTGGGGAGGGGAGCATAGGAATGGGAAGAATGAGATGAAGAAGTGTGACTACTTATCCTTTAAAACACAGGAACAGAAATTACAGGGGGAAAAGCAGAACTTGAAATCAAAATTAACCACATTCAGATCTACATGGTGTTTTACTTTTGTGGGTTTTAAAAATCCAGTATTAAGCACAATTCTTTTGGCATTTTATAAAGTATTCAGAAGAAAATAAAATTATAATCCCACAGTAAAGAAATCCTTTTCATATTCAGCACTGTTTTAACACAGAAGTGACGGTGCTCTCTAGCACAAGGTGGAGAATACAGCCTGGGTTGATACCAACGAAAGTTTTATTTTGCAGTTTTGCCTTTTGAAACTGTGTAGCTTGTAAAGCTTATGAACTGTTTTGCACTGATTTAAGGTAATTAGGAATTTTTGTAGGATATAGGCAGGGATTTAGCATCAAGATGTTCTTTAGAACACAGTTTGTAATAGCAACATTGGAAGTAACCTACTGTGCACCATGAGGACTGGTGAAATAAGCCTTAGTCCTCCGCTGGTGGGAAAACGATGCTGGCATAAGAACTGTGACGTGAGGTGTATGTGGACAGGAAAGATATTACAGGAGAAATTTGTCGTTTCTCCTTGTCCTGCGCCTCTTCCCCTTCTCCTTGCACAGAGTTTCCTTGGGGAATCACACCCTCTCAAGCTCTGACCCCAGCTGCAGCGCCAGCCCAGGGTGGGCTCCTGATCCCTGGGCTGAGATCAGCTTCTCATTCCCCAGTCACACGGGCCAGTCAGGCAGCCCAGGCCCCAACATGCCAATCCCAGTTAAGCAGGCGGGCCTCTCAGGCTTTTTCTGAACAGTTGGGAAAGAGAAGCTTTGTTTGGGCGAAGATGGCCAGGCTCTGAGGATGTGGTGGCCAAGAGTCACCACAAGGGGAGAATCTGCCGGAGGGGAGGCCAGCCCAGAGGAAAGGGGAGGAATGGAGGGGGACTTCTGAGGATGTCCTTCGAGTTCCCAACTTTCCAATTACCCCAATGATACATTCTCTTTGTGGCTTAAGCGAGTTCGGGTTGGGTTTCTGTCATTTACAGTGGAAAGAGCCTTGACCAGTACAGATGTTCATGATATCAATGAGTGAAAAAGCAAGTTCCAAAACATTATGTTCCGTGTGATTCCATCGTACTTGTTTTTTTTTGTTTTTTTAAGGCATACCATATACTTAATGCAATGTACACACACACAAAATCTGGAAAGTGGCATGAAAATGTTGGTAGTGTTATCTCCAGGCAGAAGGATTGCAGGTGATTTTTATATTATTCTTTTTGCTTGCTTATGTCAATTTTCTAATTTTATTTCAGATAAGCACATATTCTTTGTGTAATAGTAAAACCATGTTATTTAAAGAGGAGAATTCCCAAAGAGACTCAGATATGGGAGTCCTGGCCTCTGCAGCTCTGGTCCGTGCAGCTGCTCCAGTGAGCGGGACGTAGGAGAGATATAGCCACAGCCATACTGAACCACTTTGAAGGCTTTATTGCTTCATCCGCTGTGATCTCCCAGCCATGTTCATTTTTCTGTAATAAAGCTGAACCTGGTAGGAGTTCATTCATTCATTCATTCATTCATTCAAAGCACTACTGAGCACCTCTATTTTGATGTCAAAGATATAAAGATGGGAGAAACTGGGCTCAGCCCTCTTTGGTGAGGGAGACCATCAAGCAGCTCTCTCCAGCGGGTTCTGTGCAAAGGGAGATGCTGCGTGTCCATCACTGTCTGTCCCTTCCACTACCCCTGCCCCACGGGGCTCTGCCAGAGCCAGGGCTGCTGCTGCTGCTGCTGCTGCCCTCATGAAGGCCAGTCCCAGGGCCATAGGTGAGGTCTTGCACTCCAAATGTCCATAAGGATCCCTAAAAGGACTTCGGTGAGAGCCATAGCAGAGGAATAGGAGTGGGCCAAGGCACAGGATCCTATCATTTTTCTTTTTCTCCTGATGACTTTTCATCTCATCATCTTACAGGCCTGAGTAAGTCTCTCAACTGTCTGCCCAGGAACTCAGGACAATAGCTCTTGCCCCTCCAACTCCTGCCTGTATGATGAGAGGATACACATTCTTGAGCCTCATGCCTCCTCTCTTTTTTTTTCTTTTTGTGGTTTTTTTGTTTTTGTTTTTGTTTTTGAGACAGGGTCTCACTCTGTTGCCCACGCTGGAGTACAGTGGTGTGATTATAGCTCACTGTAGCCTCCAACTCCTGGGTTTAAGCAATCCTCCTGCCTGGTTAGGATAATTTTTTAAAACTTTATTTTTTGTAGGGATAGGGCTCAATGTGTTGTCCAGGCTGGTCTCAAACTCCTGGGCTCAAGCAATCCTCTTGCCTCTGCCTCCCACAGTTCTGGGGTTGCAGATTGGAGCCACTGTGCCTGGTCCATGCCTCCTTTATAAGGAGAGGGGGATCATAGCTGTTCCACACCTTAGGTTTTCAGACTGCCGGGTTATAGTCGTCATCTTATTTATTTATTTATTTAATCTTGAGACAGAGTTTCACTCTGTTGCCCAGCCTGGAGTGCAGTGACATCACCACAGCTTACTGCAGCCTCCACCTTCTAGGCCCAGCCATCTTCCCATCCCATCCTCCTGAGTAGCTGGGACCACAGTTGTGCATCATCACTCCCAGCTAATTGAAAAAAAATTTTTTCTTTTTTAGAGATGGGGTCTTGCTATTTTGCCCAGTCTAGTCTCAAACTGCTGGGCTCAAGGGATCCCCCTGCCTTGGCCTCCCAAAGTGCTAGGATTACAGGCATGAACCACCGTGCCTGACTACTATCATCATTTCTAAGCAGATTTATTGAGGTATAATTTGTATACTGTGAAATTTCCTGTGTTTTAGGCATTCAATTGAGTGATTTTCAATACATGTGCAGAGTTCTGCAGCCATCACCACCACCGTGTGACTGTGGAGCATCTCTATCATCCAGGAAGCTCCCTCCTGCTCACTTGCATTCCCTCCATGCTCCCACTTCCAGCCCCAGACAACTGCTAATCAGTCTCTACAGCTGGGATTTTTTGGACATCTCATATAAGCAGAATCCTAGAGCAGGCATCTTTTGCACCTGGCTTCTTTCACTTAATGCTTTTCAGGGTCATCCGTCTTACACCATGTATCACTACTTTGTTCCTTTTGTGTTAAAAATAGCATTCCATTGCATTGTGTGAATACATCAGATAGTGTTTATCCACTCTTCAGTTGAGGGACATTTGAATTGTTTCCACTTTTTGGCTATTGTACATAGTGCTGCTATTTGGCTATTGTACACTGTGTACACAGTGACACATATGCATGTGTCTTATGTGGACGTATGTTTTTATGTCTCTTCAATTCCTAGGGGTAGAATTACTGAGTCTCATAGTACATATATGTTTCACTTAAAAACAAACAAACAAAAAAAAAAAACAAAAAAACTGCCAACCTGTTTTCCAAAGTGGTTGCACCATTTAACATTCCTATCAGCCACGCCTGAGGATTCCAGTTTCTCCATATCCTCACCAACACTCGTTATATTCCTTATAGCCATCCTAGAAAGGGCAAGGTGGTATTTCTGTCTGCATTTACATCGCATTTCCCTATGAAGAGTCATAGCTTTTATTTTCAATAGCTAGAAGGCACCCTGCAATGTAAGTAATCATTCTTTCATTGTCCTGCAGCTGGGTCCTTTTAGAATAGAATCACATTTTAGGAATTTTAGTCCACTTTCTCTCCACTTTGTGGCACCGCCTGGGTTGATGTAGTGGCAAGAGCCTGCACAAGAGGTGAGGCAAAACTGTTTGTCATGGATTTATCAGGGGAGCTGCAGCCCAAGAATGTGGGGCACCCCATCTTCATTGTGGGTGCCATGGGGATTCCAGCTCCTGGAGGACACATGAACACAGTGTTATCCTTCGATCTTAGAACGACTACCACGTTGATGAAGGCCCGGGAAGTGGAAAACTGAAGATGCTGAACATTATTTGCTAGGCTGTTTTGAATGTCATGCCTCTAGAACCACTCACTGGAGTCTTTGCTGTTCTGTTTTGTGATGCTTTTGTCGTTTGTTGAGGTTGGCCAGAAACCTTTGCACAAAATGAAGCACTTTGTTCCTTATAGGACTCAGCTTGGTTTGTAACCCTCTGGGATTTCCTAACCACCCACAGTTGCACTGCATTCACTGGGACGAAGCTTTAGGAAATTCTTCACCATTTTTTGGCTGCCCTTCTTGTATTTTCATTCCAACGGAGACACAGCTGCTTGTTGAGATTTTCCTCCAGTGCAAAGGGAGAGACAGGAGTCCTACTGATGCTTGATGCTACTCCTTCCCGCCTTCACCCCCACACACATGGCACTGTCTTCACGAAAGCGCATGAAGATTCCTGTCAAGCCCATTGTATTCATGCAAAAGCACAACACAGGGGAAAACATATCGTGCTGTTTGACTTTAGAACTCTCACACCAGGGTCCTTAGGAAAAAGTGACATCCTAGGATTTGTCATTTCCCTTTCAACAAATAACATGCAACTCTTGCAGAGACCAGTGCCCCAATGTTAAGCACGTCTGAAAGAGCCTGAGCCTGACCTGGCACCTGACACGAAATCAGGGCCGATTGGGTGGGTTCTTCTCAGCAGCAGATGGAAGGAGAAGGCTTTTTACTCTTTGGTGGGTCCAGGATGTTCACATCAGAAAAGCCGTGGCTGCTTTGCCGAATAAATCTCCTAAAGATTCGGATGGCTCTGAAATTAGATTCCCCTTACCAAAGGATCAGGTGGCTGCTAAAGGTCAGCATATGAGAAGCCACAGTGTCACATCAGCACCATCTCCCTCGCCCACTTTAATCTCAGCTCTCCAGATGCTGGTGTACGACGGCACTGGCTTCATCAGTGGAGACTCCATTATTACATAGGAGAGTTGGTGGCAGCTGACCCCACTCTCCAAAAAGGGCCTCATAGCCTTTCTACTCTGAGACAGCTTTTGCTCAAACCCAGTACTCCTGGGAGCCCTTACATCCACCAATGACATCGCAATCTACCTAGCAACCTCCTCATACAGAAAGCCAGGAAAATCCTTGGTTCCACCCCTCTCTCACACCCAACACCAGATTTTTAAAAATAGAGTATTTTAAAAGCAGTTTTAGACTCACAACAAAATTAAGAAGAAGGTACAGAGATTTTCTATATACTCCTGCCCCCCGGCATGCACAGCCTCCCCATCATCAACATCTCCCACCAGAGTGGTGCATTTGCTACCATCAATAACCTTACACTGTCACGTCATTATCACCTGAAGTTCATAGTTTACATTAGGGTTCACTCTTGGTGCTCTGCATGCTATGGGTTTGGATAAACATATGACATGGATCCGCCATTGTAAATACAAGGCAAAGGTAAACATACAGAAACAGTTACAGAGGGAGTTACAGATACAGATACAGTGACAGTTACAGATACAGATTAGTTACAGATACAGATACATTCAGAGATACAGTTACAGTTGATACAGCACAGATATAATTAGAGTTACAGATACACATACACATACAGTTACAGATACAGATACAGTTACAATTATATAAACAGTTACAGATAGAGTTACAGTTGATACAGATACAGTTACCAGTACAGACACAAATCGACACAGTTACAGTTACAGACACAGATGCAGATACAAACATAGATCCAGTTACAGTTACAGATACAGTTATAGATACAGTTTTTCTTGTGTGTGTGTGGGGGGGTTTTTTGTTTGTTTGTTTGTTTTCTGTTTTTTGTTTTTTCACTCTTGTTGGCCAGGCTGGAGTGCAATGGCACGATCTCTCCTCACTGCAACTTCCGCCCGCCAGGTTCAAGTGATTCTCCTGCCTCAGCCTCCCGAGTAGCTGGGATTACAGGCGTGCACCACCACGCCCAGCGAATTTTTGTATTTTTAGTAGAGACTGGGTTTCTGTGTTGGTCAGGCTGGTCTAGAACTCCTGACCTCAGGTGATCCACCCAGCTTGGCCTCCCAAAGTGCTGGGATTATACCTGTGAGCCACTGCACCTGACCTAGATACAGTTTTAAATACAGATACAGTTTCAGATACAGATACAAATACAGGTACACATACAGTTACAGATACAGTTACTGATACAGATACAGTAGTAGTCACAGATACAGTTTCAGATACAGATACAGTTTTAAATACAGATACAGTTACCATTACAGTTGCAGATACACATACAGACACAGTGACAGTTACAGATACAGACACAGTGACAGTCACAGATACAGACACAGTGACAGTTACAGTTGATACAGATACAGATATAGATACAAAGCAGTTTCATGGCCCTACAATTCCTCTACATGTCACCTTACTCATCTTACCCTCCTCACTAACTCCTGGCAACCACTGATCTTTTTCACAGGGAATCATATAGCATGTATCCTCTTCAGATTGGCTTTTTTCATTTAGCAATAATCATTGAAGCTTCATTTATGTCTTTCATGGCTTGATAACTCATTTTTTTCATCACCAAATAATATTTGGTTTTCTGCTTGTACTACAGCTTATTTATCCATTCACCTACTAAAGGAC